GCGCCCGGGGCCGCCGCGGCAGCACCGGCACTGGGGTACGTGCGCAGAGCCCAGGGGACGATCAGGCAGGGCTGATTTTGGAGAGATGAATCATTTTACACGTGGTTTTTTTTTTTGGATATTTATGAAGGTAGAGTTCATGGCGATGACGGAACCGGGCAGCGGCCCCGCCAAACCGTACAGCACTCTCGCGCTGGATCGCTTTGAGAGAGCGTTCCCACCGCACGACTAGGGGATGTCTCGCACTCGGAAATGTCCGGACCCCGGCTCGGGCGGCAGCCGGCGTGCGGGCAGGCGGCAGCGGGGAAGGCTGCCGTCGCACCAGTCCCTCTGTGGTGAGATGGGGCTGCCTACTCCAGAACCACGGTCCCTCCTGCTGCCTCCAGCGCTGCTTTGATTTTCTCCGCTTCCTCCTTGGAGGCGTTAGCTTTGATCTCCTGCGGAAGGGACTCCACCAGCTTCTTTGCCTGCGGGAAGGACAAAGTACGAGACTTGTAAACTGGTTTTCACTAACCGGATTAACAGATTTAGAGCCATGAGCCTGACCTCTGCATAAGCAGACCACGGAAACTCCACGACCGGTCTAAAACTCAAGACTTTTACTTGAACTACAGCACATCCTGCCGGAAGACATCTAAACCTGACTGCAAGCGACCGCACACCCACTATAGTGCTGGAAAACCTTTTTCAGTGAGTGACTGCCCATAAATTCCTCCCACCATGTGCACGGTGCTCCCAGAGGTGCAGCCCCGGTCCGAGAAGGTACCCGGGATGCACGCAGAGCCACCACGCAGTAACCTGCCAAGGCAGCTACTGGCCTGCGTCGGGTTGACTTTTTTCAGCACAAGTGTTTTGGTTCACATATTTCCACCAGCGGGGAGGAGAGGCCGTCTCAGGGTTTATACACAGCTGTGCAGGAATCTGCTGTACTGGGTAGAAAAAGAGTTCCAGTCCAGACTATGCTTGACAACACAATCTTGATCATTTCAGGACTTTTTATACAAAACTATTGGTACTATGCAGTACCACAGTATTTAAGGCAAGTTGGAAAGCTGCTGAACTGATTTAAAGGGGCTTCCTGCAGTACTGCTGTACAGAAAGCAAAGGGAGCCCGTGAGGATAAGCCCCTGCTGCCATCAGATGCTCTTGTTCTTATACCAAGCAGCAGCAACAAAGCTATTTGTCTCCTTAAAAACAAAGCCTGGGGGAGGTTCCTACGGTGAAGAGCCGCTGCCAGCTCTCTGGTGTGTGGCACGGCAGGGAGCGGTATTTAGCACCCAACGGATGGACCATTGCTGAAAAAAAGAAGGTTTTGTTGTTTTAATTCATGTTGGGCGCAGTGACAATGTATCTGTGGTGGCAGAAAATGCTTTTTTTGCTAGGGATGAGAAGGTGTAGCTGTGCAGGCAAAGCTCGGCAGGGCAGGCGTGCCTTCGCTCACCAGAGCCCAGGACAGTATCCAGAAAGGAGCCTGTTCTGGCTTGCTGTGATGAGGACAGGCAACACAATCAAGATTATTCATTTCAGACCCTTGCTCGCTAACGCTTAACTTCTGTTCTAAAGCAGCCTCAGTCAAAGGAAGCAGCTGTTCAGAGCTCCCAGCAGGAGGAAGAGCAGGACCCGAGCCAAGCTGAACCTGCACAGTAACAGCCACAGGGCAGAGAGGCAACGCGTTTCCAGTCCCGGTTCCACGGAGCATAGGAGAACGCCAGCCAGGGCTGGTGAAGACGCGAGGTGAGTGTCTGTTGGGCCGGCTCTGAACAAGCTTTCAGAGGTGCAAACGGACTCGAGTCTGGCTTGCACTGACAACGTGCCTGTCGCGTCAAGCAGTCGTTTCTGCAAGGCTGACCTGTTCGAGTCACATCAGCACACAACATCCAAAGATTTTACTAGCAATGCTTTCTTTCATTAACAGCCTTACAGGCCAAGAATAGATTCCCTACAAATCTCATAAAAACCACCTCAATTGGATGGCAATAAAATTTACAATAAAAACGTATCAGCTACGCTTTGAATACAACCTCTGTAGACAGAACCAACCACCAGTAGCAGTTTGTTTTTAGTGTGTGTGTGTGTGCATTTTAACCAAAATACCAGGTCAGGTAAGTCACACTTGACAAAGTTTACCCGCAATAACCTGCACCTACCAACCTTGTACCCGCATCGGAACTGTAACCAGCTTGTTTGACAGGTTCCACATGCTAAGCCAAGCTGATTTAGCATTAGTTCTCTGGACAGCTTTTAATTATCCACTGATCGTGTCCATTACAGGGTTTTGGTATTTTAATGTTTGCTTGGGATTGATAATGGATAAACAACTGCCAAGGTGATAGTCAGTTACTTATCACAGCGGGTCAACGAAACTTACATCTCTGCCACCAGAGTTTCTCTGTTATTGAATTGTTTGCTTTGCAATATATCAGTATGGACGGGTCAGATTTTCTGCAAAACCTTCCGATATCCCAGGCTACAAATAAGAGCAGATTTTACAACGCTCAACGTTTCTTCCTTGCAACTGGATAAATAGAAAGTGCTACTATTATCCCCAAGATATGAAAGCATCACCCAGTGGAAACCTGAAGCATGTTAAATGCTTCCGCAGTAGCAGCTGTATCACCCATTCTTTGTTCTGAGCCTAACATCATTGCTCAAGGGTGTGAGCTCAGGTGCTGCATAGGACTGTGAAAGGCCATCTCCCCCAAGGAAAAAGGAGAAGGCATCACCTATAAAAAGAGGAGCTCTGAAAAGGACCAGAAGCACGGATTGTAAGACGTGAGAATTAGAGAAACTCATCTAAATTCAGAAATATATTGGCCTTGAAAAAGCAAAAAACTTTAGGGGAAAGCAAGCCAAATCCAGCTGTAGTAAGGAATCCTGGCTATCCCAAGTTCTGCAGGAAAGCTCACAGCAGCTCTTAGATTCAGAGAAACTGAGGCTGGCACGGAGGACTTTGTGGTCTTTGCTGAGCCTCCTTCTTCATCCCACCGCTTCTGCTAGGGGCTCAGTTGTTGGCCACACAGCAGCGCTGGGAGGGAATAGCCTTCGCTAAAAACCACCAGACAGACAAGACGCAACTGACTCCTGCTCTAGGCCTCGTCCGCATCTTTGCACCGAGGCGTACACATGGGCAGAGCGTTCTCCTAAACACGGAGATCCAGGCTCCCTTTTGAACAGAGAACCGAGGCTGCCGCTCGCAAGGTGCCTCAGAACCGGTCCGGGCTCGGGGCTGACGCGGCAGGGCGGCCGGGGGTTCGGGCAGCCCCCTCCTCACCTGCACGAGGTTCACTCCCGGCACGAAGTTCTTCACCTCCTTGATCAGTTTCACCTTATCAGCAGGTTTCAGCTCTGTCAGCCGGACGGTGAAATGTGTTTTTTCTTTCTTGAGCGGGACCTCCTCCTCCTCCTCCTGGAAGCGGCCAGAGCTGGATGAAGGCACCCGGCCAGGGGTACGGCCCGCCCTCCTCCCCGCCCCGCCACGCGTGGGGACCCGGGAGGCCGACACAGAGCCCCCCGGCCCCCG